CATAACATAACATAACATAACATAACATAACATAACATAACATAACATAACATAGCATAGCATAGCATAACATAATACATAACAGCATCTAAGGCATGGTTGCTACCGTGGTTAAGGGATGTGCGCATGTCTGTTTGCAGCCGACACAGACATGCACTGGCAGTCGTTTGAACGGCTGACCCCTCTTCATGTCGCCTGCAAAAGCGGGTCGCTGGACTGCGTTCGACTTCTGCTGGCAGGGGGCGCTGATCCGGATATTGCGACGAGCGACGACACAACACCGCTGCTGGATGGTATGCCGCTGGCTCATTGTCAGAAATGTCATAAATAGTTATGACTACCATTGAGTCCAAATGTCATGTCGTTTGCTCAATAATTCTCCTCTAAACTTATGACATGTTAGACCTATGATGTCGTTACTATTTATGTTTTTGACAATGGGCTGTGGTCTCGTGTGTGTGTGTGTGCGTGCGTGCGTGCGTGCGTGTGTTGTGTGTGTGTGTGTGTGTATTGTGTGCATGTGTGCATGTGTACGTGTGTGTGTGTGCAACTCCATCATTTGGGAGACCTATTCGTCAAGCTGTGAAAACCCAGCGTTACTGTGTAGGAATTGTCAAAAGTAAACACAGCTGAAAAGTAAGGCAATTAGGCAATAAAGCCATGTCATAGAATTTATAGCATGTCGCAAATTAGCTTCAGCTTTGAAGACCTGGCATGCGTTAAAGGACCGGGAGAACCGTTCGATAAGTAGGGGGCGTTGTACGTAATCGTTGTTCGTAAGTCGACGACTCGTTGCGTTCGCTCAGCTCTGTATAACAAGGAAGCAGCGGCTGAAATCGTGAAAGCATTACTCAAGAGTGGCGCCAGCGCTAATGCTGCGATATGGACAAAATGGACGCCGCTTCACGAGGCAGGGATCTTCCAACACAAGTCGAACCAGGAAATTACAAGGTGTGGGGTGCACATCGCAACCAAACAATAGATTCACTCTGGGGGAAATATGTGTGTGTGTGAAACCTTTAACCGTGATTACCATGAAGAAACGACTGTAATTTTGCAATCACTTAAACTCATTTTAAAACGAGTAAGAAAAAATGGGGAAATCAGCGACTCTCTCCTGGTCTCTGTCCTGGTCTCTACTGTAGGTGGTGGTGTCGCCATCCGCATCGCGATGGCATTCTAACTGGCGTGTAACGTGTAACCCACTCTACTTATTGCTCAGGCTTCTCCTGGACCATGGCGCTACACTACAGGCACCAGACGAGAACGGTCTAACTCCTGTGTTCACGGCAGCGCAGCACGGCAACACAGACTGCCTGCGAACGTTACTGGATCGGGCCGAACAACTCGGTATGTGTGCATCCCGCAGAAGTCTATTCGGACGTTAATAGTCATGGTTATTCTTCTGGTTGAGTGGGATAGGATTCAAGGCTCGCTGTGGCAGTTGTGCCGTTATGCAAGGTGCTTCATCCTAGTGCCCTAAACTCTTCAGTCGACAGCTGCTGTAGGAATGGGTTTACCTCACTGGCAGGAGGCTAACAGCCTCACCCACATAACAGCGAGCAGCTTTGCTGAGCATATTACAGAGACCAAAGCAACGATGTGTTGGAAATATAAATAATCAGCCCGAGTTTACTCGGCGGCTACTAATGAGTAACCCGCACGCCAAGCTTCCACGGCACGGTGAGTGATGCCTTGACACTACACTGCTTGCAGGAGAAGCGGGGGTCGTCAACAAGGCGGGGTCGGACGGTGCCACGCCCCTGTTCATCGCAGCACAGGAGGGCTTCCTTGACTGTATCGAACTGTTGCTGTCACACGGTGCAGACGCCAACGCCGCCCTGCTGGACGAGACTGCAGTGCCCCTGGTGGCGGCAATACAGCAGGGTCACGTGAGGTATGTAGACAAGTGGCAGTTTTTTCGCCGAGGTTTTACAGCATTTTTGTTTCTCGCTCGCCGGGTGAGTTTGCTCGAACCGCAAAAACGTCGCGACTGTAAACGCGCAACGAGGTATTTATCGGCGCCGTCCCAAATTGACCTGTCCGCTTGGCCACGCCCCCTTCGACACTATTGCTTTACACTGGGGTCTGTCTCCTGCGCTCACCCAGTTTGATCTAGCTGTATGTCGTTACTAGGCATTGTTTTGTGAACGTCTTCTCACGATGCTCATTGGCAACAGATGCTCATCAATCACCCCAGTGTCGAGCTAGCAGCGTGTCATTACTAAGCATTGTTTTGCGAACGTCTTCTCACAATGCTGATTTACTAGTACTGGCTGCAGGACAGGCAGGCAGGTCGATTTCGAACGACCGTGTTTATCGATAACGAAAATCCGACGTCGCGCGATCTGATCCGTCGTTACGATTCGTCTCGGCAGAGTCGTCGAGAGGCTTCTCGGCGAGACGTCGGCCGAGGCGCTGCGCACGCGCTCGGCTAGTCCCTACCACATGGCCATCGACTGGTCACGACTCGACTGCCTGCGCGCGCTCGCCGCGCATGGACTCCTGAGCGACGAGTTCTCGCGTGAGACGCGGCTCGCGGACGCCGTCGGCCGTGACGACCTCGCCGGATTCTACGCGGAGCTGGCGCCGGACCGGGTGTCGCCGCTCGCGCACGCACTGAGCCGCGGCGCGCGGGCGATGACTCTCGCGCTGCTGGCGGCGGGGGCCAACGCGAACGCGTTCACGCCGCGACACGTGCCGCCGCTGCTCGCCGCGCTCGCCACGCCGCGCGTCGACGACGACATCGTCGCCGCGATCGTCGACGCGGGCGCGCAACTCAATGGCGCGCTGCCCGGCGGCGGCGACGCGAGCGCCCTCTACCTCGCCGCGTGCCTCGCCCAGCCAGGCAAGCTGCGGCTGCTGCTGCGGCGGGGGCTGGATGCGCGCGTGCTCGACATGTGGCGGGAGGATGACGGCAGCGCGTGTGCACTGTGCCGCGCCGGCGTCACCGACGCGCTCGACTCGAACGAGATGGCGGCGGCGATGCTGATCGTGCGCGAGTTCCACGCCGTGTTTGCGTGCCCCTGCTCCAAGTTCCGGCTGATCTCGCGCTGGTCGTGGCGGCACTTGGCGCGGCTTCGCGCGGCGTGCGCCCGCCCGCCATCGCTCGCGCACGCCGCCAGGGTGCGTCTGCGTCGCCGCCTGCCGCTCGCGCTGCTGGCGCGGCCGGACACGCTCGCGGCTCGCCTGCGGGAACACCTTCCAGCCCAGCTCGTCGACTTTGTGCTGTACAACGATGATACGCGTGTACTCATACTCCGGTCTCCGTCGTCCCCGGCGACCTCCAGCAAGATGCAGAGTAGGATGCCGACTCCGGCTTGCGTCGCCCCCGGCAACCTCCAACAAGATGCGGAGTAGGACTCCGGCTGCCCCTTTGAATCGGGCTTTGAATCCCTTTGAATCGTCTTTTTGTTGAATATCTTCAACCAGCACAGAGATTTGCCGGAAGTTACCGTGGAAAATAGGTGTGCGTGTGCGCGTATAGAGGTTGATAACAACAAACTTTCGAGCGTCAGCCCAACGTGTGATTCCTAGTGTAATTGTCGTCAAGCATTCACACAGCTTGGGCGATAATGTATTTATATATATTATGTATTTATATATATAATGTTTGTATGTTGTTGTTTTTTTTACTTTTAGTTTATAGCAACTGAGTAATGTTCCTAATAACGTGTGCGTATACGTGTGTGCGCGTATGTGTGCGCGTATGTGTGCGTGCGTACGCAGAGCAAACACCAGTCATAACTTGTTCCCCCCCCCCCAAGCAATTGTCTGTAAAAATCGAAAATCCCTGCAAAAATAAATGCACAGTGATTGAAATCATGAATATATCTGTTCGTGTTTGATCTATTGTCATCTGGAGGATGCAGAGAGAGAGAGGGCGAGAGAGAAGAAAGAAAATGGAAGAGCAATAGAGAGGGGACGAGATAGGGGAGATGTTGTGAGGCAGTTTTTAAACTAGAGCCGACTTGCAGCCTGCTACCTTCTTCTGCCTCGGCGGGCATGGTCAGCATATATGTCTTCAACCACGAAGGAAGCTGAACGAACGCTGGCTGCAACGTATATATCTACAAGTAAATACAGCTATAGGTTGAGCAAACAGCAAATAGATAGAGAGAAGAAATAACACTGCATGCCTGAATGCGTCTGAATGCATGGGTGGGTACCCTGTGGTGAGATACTTAAAACGTTTCTATCTACAATATCACCAGATGACAACTTTAAGCATCCTTATCCGTATCTGTCTGAACAGTAATCACAAAAACAAAAGGATTATATAGTTAACAGTTTATTGAGGCGATTAAACGAGATATGTAATTAGGCATACAAGGCTATCATTAACAGGAGTTTAGAGAAGACAAGCAAGGCTCCCCACCCCACCCCATCCCACTTGTTAACATAGTGGGATGACGTACACCCGTACGTGATGCAAACAATTCGTACTAACATCATAAACGCCTTGATACTGGTCTTCTGTAGTTTCAAGCTAGCATTGCTCATCTAGCATTGCTCTTAGCTTCTTCTGATGAATGTTATTATATTCTGATTGATGTGCAATAACACAAACCGTCATTATGAGGCTATGGCTGTAGACTATACAGAGACAAATGATAAACACGAACTAACATTGATTTCTAACGTCGTTGCAGGAATACAATCTGTATATATGCAACACTATTAACTAAGAATGATCTCTGCCATAGTATATAGGCATTGGCATATGACGTTAAATATTATATAATTTATATCATAAATAGCAATTTTCTAGGAAGTAATACACTGTGCAAAGTGTACACGTACCTATATATGAGTGTTTAAACACAGAGGTAAACACATAACAATAGGTGAATACTACGTGCAGAACTAAACCACTATATATTGTTGATATTTTGTATTTGTATCGTAAACAAAAATATAACGTAATACGAGGGAACTGCAGAGAATTGCGAAATTCTGCACAGCATGTTGATATATTAAGCCCTAAAACATGGCTTTAACATGCCATAGAGAAGACAGTGATTCTATTGTTAGATGTATCGTAGATTACCTGATACAACAGCACATGGCCAACGCGTTACTAGCGACTAATGCATCCCCCGATTCGCGTAAAGGCATTTACATAACATGTTTCAACGCTATATGTCTTTAGAACGTAATGTTGTGAAACGTAATAGCATGAAGTTGTAACCAATAAATATTACTAGCTGTATACATCCACTGCTACATCAACTCTTCGCCATGCGACACAAAACAGGAACAAATCAAGCAAAAAAAAACGGGGGGGGGGAAATTTAACAAACAATCCAATTCCATACTTGTCCTATGTAGCTTTAGGATCAGAGCTCAATAAATGATCACACGACAGTGATATTGTGTAATACCAATAATACAATAATAATTATGTAAGTCAACTAATTTGAGTGTGTGCTTACTTATAATGCTACCATGTGCTATATATTGTTTAAATATATCAAAGTTATTATGGTAAATCTTTCATATTCTATTTTTATTGTATATCTCCATCGGCATCTCATCCCTCATATTTTCGTACCCCAGCTCACGTTCAACTTTACTCTTCATTTCACCACTGTCGTTGTATATATTTTAATATACATCCCACTCACTTCTCAGCTACCCTACCATGTTGTTTTACCTATTAACGTGATCCACAACCCCCCCCCCTCCCCCTTCTCCCTCAGTCCTTCCACACTCAATTCTTTCGCGAACCAACACCCTTGTCTGCATGGCATAGAAACTTGGAGGTGTGCAGCCTTCCTTCCTCAGAACAGCACCCACCCACCCTCCACCTCGGACATCAGTAAAACAGACACCTTTCTATCTCAGTAAGGCACACACACCCTCCTAACTCAGTAAGCCACACACCCTCCTACCTTAGTAATGCACACACATTCCTCCCTCAGTAAGGCACACACCTTCCTACCTCAGTAAGGCACACACACCTTCCTACCTCAGTAAGGCACACACCTTCCCACTACTGTAATACACACCTTCCTACCTCAGTAAGGCACACACCCTCCTACCTCAGTAAGGCACACACCTTCCTACCTCAGTAATGCACACACCCTCCCACTACTGTAATACACACCTTCCTCCCTCAGTAAGGCACACACCTTCCTACCTCAGTAAGGCACACACCTTCCTACCTCAGTAAGGCACACACCTTCCTACCTCAGTAAGGCACACACCTTCCTACCTCAGTAAGGCACACACCTTCCTACCTCTACTGTAATAAAAACCTTCCTACCTCAGTAAGGCACACACCTTCCTACCTCAGTAAGGCACACACCTTCCTACCTCAGTAATGCACACACCTTCCTACCTCAGTAAGGCACACACCCTCCCACCACTGTAATACACACCTTCCTACCTCAGTAAGGCACAACCCTCCTAACTCAATAAGGCACACACCTTCCTACCTCAGTAAGGCACACACCCTCGTAACTCAATAACGCACACACCCTCCTACCTCAATAAGGCACACACCTTCCTCCCTCAGTACGGCACACACCCTCCTAACTCAAGAATGCACACACACTCCTACCTCAGGAAGGCGCGCAGAAAGTCGTTGTAGTTGAGCAGGCCCGACAGCTGGCGGTCGTAATACGACATGACGTGGAAGAAGTCGTCATCGGACATGCGCACGCCGAACTGCGCGAGGATGCAGCGGAACGGGTGCGCGCGCAGCTGGCCCGTGTTCATGCTGTCCACCATCAGGCACTTCCGGCGGATCAGCTTCCAGTTTTCGACGACGCGGTCGTATATGCGCAGCATCGCCTGAGAGTACTGTGTGTTTGCGACGCCGCCTCCATCACCAGAGTCCGCCTGTTGACGACACGGCAAAAGGTGCCGGGGAATGAGACGGGGAAAAGTTTGTGCCAGACCAGTGGTTTCGATGGCCGATCGAAAGATTTGGGAGACTGAAAATCTCGTCACGAGACCCGGGCATAAATTGGTGAAAGACTAATTCAAGCTGATTATTACGCTTAACTAAGGAACAGAGAAGGTGATTGTGGTTGAGAAGCAAGTTGCAACCACTTGCCAATTGAATGGGTTGGATCTAACTTTCACACCCGTGCAAATATATTTTTAGCCGCAACGGAAGGTAGGTAGGAATAAATTTTTAGCCTTGGAAGGCATGCAGCCGTGAATAAACGATCCACGAAAGGATTTTAGGAGGCTATACCGACAGCTATAACCGTGTAGCCATGGGCTACGCATGTATAAATGAAAACCCGGTGGAAAATATTTTTGTAGTGCAGAGTGTAGCGTAACAGGTGTGGAGCGACGTCTATACTGTCTCATAATATACCAGTCAACTATAACCATTAGTAAACATGCCGTAGACAGGTCGTGAAAAATAAAAGTACAGCTACGTACCGACATGCGGTTGTGAAGAATATTGAGTCTCTTTGTCGAAGGCGGTTCTTTGAACTTCAGATGCAGCACCAGCTGACGAAGCAGGTCAGCATAGCGAACACGATGATCCTGCAGCACGCCATACTGCTCCAGTAGGTGGCGCCAGGTGTTCACTGCACCTTCCACATTGTACTCGCGCATGATCACTGCAAACACATGCATATATAATTATATATATATATATATTTATGTATATATATA